ATAAATTGTGCAATTAGTGAGAAGGGAAAAACATGGGCAAGAAAAAGAAGCACAACAGGAATCTCTAGACTCCTTTCTGCCAATGTTATTGAAGAAGGTCTGGTATCTCAGCTATAGTTGAGTGGCTCCCATGATGTTCTAGTACATTTATGAACCAGCCCTACTGATTCAGTGAGTGTTGATAATCCCAACTGATGTCTGACTGTTTGAAAGTAGTTAGTGTTCTCCTATTTCTGCAGGGTTCCCCGATGAATGTTGGGTAATCTCAGTATCTCTCTCTAAATCTACAGCCATTAACAAAATCTTGGTGGAATTGTCTTGGCAATATATACATAGAAATATAAACAAATAGGTCTGAATTCTATTGCTAGTCTCAATTTGAGAAAATCCCTTGACTCAATTGCAAATCGTAGAATCATGGGATCTCAGAATTGGAAGAGAGACCACAAGGGCCATCTATTATGTAGAAAAACAGATAGACCTCTGTTAATGAAAATGATTCGTTCCTCAACATTACGTCTTTAACAGAAAATTTGGTATCAGAGATAGAAATAATATGGAAAGAAGAGGGATATTTTCTTACACCACAAAAAAGAACACTTCAGTTTGTTTTATCAGCTTTTATTCATCTAGGTAAGATAAGCCTTACATAAGTAAACAAAAATATTGTGAATCTCCCAGAGACTGCTTGAAAATGTCTTTCAAAATTAACCTAGAGGTATATATTTTGCTTTCCAGCAGCTTCAGTTTTTGTTATGATTTCCATTTGATGGCCAAACTTCAATTGCCATTTACAAATTAAAAATGCTCTTTTTTAACCCCAATTTTAGGCATTTCAGTGCAATTCTATGGCCAACTTCCACCATAGGCTAACTATAGAATTGCACTGAAAGACCTACAAATGTCTAGAGAGATAGTCTCTTAGGAATGTTTAGATTCTCCAGCACAATTCTATAATCAACTTCTAGTGGAAGTTGAGCAGAGTTATACTTGGAGGACCTAGAGATTTCTAGAGAGAACCTATTAAACAAATCCTTGAATAATCAAACCTCTGAATGTGACACTGTAAATGTAGAGGGCTGACTGCAGATCTGTGTTCTGTTTAAAAGCATGATGGAGGAAGCTAGTGAGGCTATTTTGCTTTTCCATCTTTCTCTCTCTCTCCCTTTTTTTTGTATGCATTCTCGGTAAGGTATTCCAAAGGAAGTTGCTATTACTTGCCTGTTGTATGCACAATTAGAGAAGGATTAACTGAGCAGTATTCCATTCTTTCCTAGTTCAAGCTTTATTGAATTGTTCCTTTAAACAAGCTGCTGAAACATAGCAACTGAATGTCTGTCTTTCCCGGTCCTGCATCACTCTCTCAAAAGGAAGTTTGTAGAAACAAACAGAGAACAACAAGGAGGAAAATGACGTGTGCTGAATGTCATAAAAATACTTTGTCAAAGGGATAATCTTTGTCAGAGGTTTTATGAATTGAGAAATACCTATACACAATTACAGGTAAAAGGTAAAGGTTTTCCCCTGACATTAAGTCCAATCATGTCCGACTGGAGGTTGGTGCTCATCGCCATTTCTAATCCAAAGAGCCGGCGATGTCCATAGACATCTCTAAGGTCACATGGCCAGCATGACTGCATGGAGCGCCGTTAACTTCCCATTGGAGCAGTACCTATTGATCTACTCACATTTGCATGTTTTCGAACTGCTAGGTTGGCAGAAGCTGGGGCTAACAGCGGGAGCTCACGGTGCTCCCCGGATTCAAACCTGCAACCTTTCGGTCAGCAAGGTTAGCAGCTCAGTGGTTTAACCCACTGCACCACTGGGGGCTCCATATTATAGCACTCCAGAAATAGCTCCTTCAACTCTGTTTAAAGACATTAGAGGAGTCCACCACCACCCAATGCAATCTATTCCACTTCTCAACACTTCTTATAGTAAAAATGTTCCTAATGTTTAGGTGAAATATATTTTCTTGTAAGTTGAATCCACTGGTTTGTGTTCTAAGTTCAATTAAGCCAACATTTAGAACTGTGTCTCATGGTTTTAAGTTACAGGAGGGCAGGTTTTCCATTGAACATTAGGAGGAACTGCTTGGCAGTTCCTTTCTTAGTCTCCTTTCCTGGGTGTCTGAACAGGCTGGACAGCTACCAGCTGGGGATGCTTTAGCTCAGCCATGGACAAACTTTGGCCTGCTAGGTGTTTTGGACTTCAACTTCCACAATTCCTAACAGTCAGTAAGTTGGCTAGGATTTCTAGGAGTTGAAGTTCAAAACACCTGAAGGGCTGAAGTTTGCCCATGCCTGCTTTAGCTGAAGACTACATTGAACAGAGGATTGGACACATTGAGTCATGCCCTCCCCCATCTCTATGATTCTATGATTTACTACTTTTGTGTGTCTCCTCTAACTAATTACAAGTAGATCATAGTTACGAATGTAGACCCATATATGACTATTAACTACACTGATCTTTCAACATATAATGCAACAAATACAATTGAGAGACAACACATTTAAAAGTAAAAAATAGTTACCGTCGTTTATAAAAGTCAGTGTCCAACAACTCTAGTTTCTAAACTTGAACTACTTCGTAGCATACTTTTTAGCTTATTACTTTTCCTATAGCTCTTTTTTGTTTGTTTCAAAATGTATTCTGATAAAGTTGATGAGACTGATTTCTCCCATATAACTGCTCTAATTTACTCCTTTTGGAAGAGGAGGTACCAAGGGAAGATAAGAAAGTTCATCTGTTGTAGACAGGATTTTTTTTTACTTTTGATCATGTCATTATATTTCCAAAAGCCTGTCACTGATTGGAAGGTGGGTTATCTGATCAGCTGTATATATTTCACAATCTCAGCATGACATTTTTGGTGTGCAGCTTCATCAGCTGGATAGCAGTGTATCACTGTATAATTTTAAGATGAAGAAGTGATTGGTATTAAAATGGGGTGAATTTTGTTGGAGGAGGCCGATAGACTTAGCTTTCTGTGACTGAGTAATTCAGAGGAAAAGCTTTTAAGCTCCGAGTGGGCAAGGACATAGTCATATTTAAAATACTGATTAAATGTGGAATAGATAGGAACACTGTTAGATGAATCCATAATTGGTTGGAAAACTATGCTCAAAGAATCATCATCAATGGCTCTGCTTCAAACAGGAAGGAGGTGTCGAGTGGAATACCTAAGGGTTCTGTCCTAAGGCCATTGCTCTTCAACATTTTTATCAATGACTTAGATGATGGAGTGGAAAGAATCCTTAAGTTAAGCTTGGTGAAAAGAAGACTGAGGGATGACATGATTGCACTCCTTAAATACCTCAGAGATTGTCACGGAGAACAGTGGGCAAGCCTGTTCAGTGCTGTCCCAGAAGGTAGGACCAGGTCTAATATTTTGAAGTTCTAGGAGAATAGATTCCTATTGAACATTAGAAGGAAATTCTTGATAATCAGAGCAGCTGGGCAATGGAACCAATTGCCTAGATAAGTTGCGGGATCTCCTTCTCTGGATGTTTTCAGAAAGAGGCTATTGGTTGGAGATGCTTTAGCTGAAGATCCAGTATTGAATAGGGGGTTGGAATCCATGCCCTATGAGACCCCTTCTTTGATACTATTATTCTAATGTGCGGGTGTTTGGGTTACTGTTTTCATACTGATTGTATCAAAGAAGAGTAGTATGACAATGGTGATCTACGTTTCTTATTTATTTATTTATTTATTTCAGGCATTTGTACTCCGTACTTCTCACCTCCAGAGAGGGACTCAGGACAGCTTACAACAGGCAACCCACAGTGCCGATACAATACATTAAAAATCATAATACAGTTGAACACAATAACGCCATTATAAAACAATCACTTTAAAACAATCAGTTTAAAACAGTTTGCTGGTTTAAAACATCGGCCAGATCAGGCCATTGTGGTCGTTAAAACATTCTCTTCCCAGATTATTCCAACTTATTGCTCAGAGACTTGACCCCATAGCCAGTTTTTAAGTTTTTTACAAAAGGTCAGCAGGGAGGGGGCTGATCTAATGTCGTTGGAGAGGGAGTTCCACAGCCGAGAGCCATGTTTCTCGCCCCCACCAGTCGTGCCTGTGATGATGGTGGGACTGAGAGCAGGGCCTCCCCGACTGATGAACTTAGCGTCTTTGGAGGTTCTTAAGAGTTTCTGTTCTATAAAGGCATAAGATGAGGACAGTCATTTTCTGGCAGACTAATTATCTGTGCAGGGTTACTACAAAAATGAAATGTGACAGTCACTAACACTGCCACTAGAGAAGTGAGGAGAAAATGTGAATAAAAATAGCAATAAACTGGTCATTGCAACTACTTTAAGTGTTCTCAAAGGCTTGGCTGTTTGTATTTGAGCTGCTGGTTTTAAGCAGCAGATAGTTCACAAACGTACTGCATGAGTTTTTAGATCGACCCACTGAGTTGTCTTGCAGAATTACAGAACTCAGGAGGCTCAAATTAGCTGCTGCCTTAAAAAATAAAATAAAAATTTGCTCAGTTTTAAATACAGCAAAGTAAAACATTGGTGATGCTACTATATTTGATCATAATACAAAATAGAACATTTTGGTGTTTCAGATCCTAGATTTGGTGACTTTATTCTTTAGGGGTGAGCAGAGAACTGAAATTGGAGATGTGACCAGAGAAAGAAATAAAGGAGTGGAGTGAAAGTTTCCAATGGAGTTGGAACTCAAAGAGAAAAAAATAATAGTAAACAGAAATTGTATTTTTGCACTTCATGAACTGCAAGTTTTCGAAGACTGCAGTGGTGTAATACATTTCCTTGTATATTCAGAAGTCTAAATGTATTTTTGCATATTTCTATATGTTTAATGATCTAGTTGGTGATTATGGAAATTTGGAGATTTTTTCTGTATTTAAGACAATGCATTCTAAAAAAAACCTTATAGGTGTATGGTCCTTGATACTGTTCTTTGTATATTACATTCTTTCTTTTAAAAATTGTGTTTGTGTTTTATCTGACTAGGAGTTAAATAGCTTTAATTACTTGGACCTTTATAAGCTTGCTGACCTCTTTAACCTCACTCTGCTGGAGAAAGCGGTGGTCGATTTCTTGGTGAAGCATCTCTCTGAGCTACTGAACAGCCACCCTGAAGAGGTCCTGGCGCTCCCATACTGCCTCATCCGGGAAGTCTTAAAGAGTGACCGGCTTACATCACTGAGTGAAGAACAAATCTGGCAGGTAAAGAACAAGACTAACATGAAGCATGTTAGAAACCAGGAGAGAAAGCAGTAATGCAGTTCCTTGAACATTCAGAGGACAAAATCAGTAGCAATCCATGGATGTCAGCAATGGTCTTAACTGCAATTAATTTAGGGAATACTTCACGGGTATAGAAAATTCCTGTTTCATCTCTTTGGCATAACTGCAGACACTACCATACTGTTATAGAAAACATGGAATCTCTGATCAAGTAGAGTGGAAAGTGCTAAATAAGGATATAATAGCCATTGACCTAACAGAGTGCCTAGGCATGCTGGCCAAATGAAGATAGTTATGCTTTACACATTTTTTTTCTGTGCAATGGCATATATTGGCTGAGATCCAACTTTGGGTGGGTGTAGCACTAATCACTGTCTGCAGAATTATAGAGTGGTCATGCTATGTTGCTTCTTACAGTGGATTGGCTGTGTTGTCCAACAGACTGCATGTCTGACTGTGGTGGCATTCATGTGCATTGCTCAGAGATTAATGTGAATCTCAGAATGAAGGGACTGTTTAGCCTCATGGATGCTAAGAGATGACTGTCTACATCACATTTGCACAGTTACACATTGGCCTAAACAGTGTGTGTGCTTGTGAAATAATTACCTTTAAACTAGATACAAACATTGCATGACTAAAAAACCAAAAACTAGTCTACTAATGGAAGGGACTTCACACTAGTCACTAATAGGAGTTTGGGCATTGTATCATTAGTTTTGATATGCGATGTCTGCAGGGCATTTCAGTTGTTGTAATGTAATATAGCATTATATAGTAGTTTAAGCATTGAACTATGACTCTGGAGATCAGGGTTTTATTTCCCCACTTGGCAATGGAAATCCATTGGGGAACCTTGGACCAGTCACACACTCTCAGGCCTAGAAAATCCTGTGATAGGTTCACCTCACAGCTGCCATATGTCAGAAACAACTTGAAGGCACACAATAAGAAGAATGCAGCTAATTCCTTGAGAGGTACCACTCTTTTCGTTCCATACCTTTAGTAGTCTAAAGTCTTCATGTAACAGACTATTCCTTCTTGATATTCAACATTCAGAGTTTCCAGCTAAAGATCACAGTGAGCCTTTGTTACTGAAGCATTGTAACCCCCAACCCCCAGAATATGAGAATAGGAGTAAAAAGAAATAATGGAAGCATTGTTTGCTAAAGTGCTTTGTGGTAGTTGCTTTCTTTTCTTGTATTTAATAAGATTAGTAAAATATTATTTCAGCGCCCATCCAGACAGAGCACAAAACTTGTGCCCTCCAGGATATTTGTGGAGGACCTACAAACGATGCCCCACACAAAATCGAATGCATTTAGCACAAAGCAGGAAAATCCTATTTTGTGCCAAGGTAATTTGATAGTGGGTTAGATCCACGCCTTCTTGAAAGGTGCGGGTTGAACCCACTATGGCCACTGTTTGGACTGCCCCCTCAGAAGTCCTGATTCAACCTGAAAAACTGCAAGGGTACCAACCCCCCCCCCCCCCAAAAAAAGCATTTAAACAATAAAATAACTTACTGGATGGGCATTGCCCTACTGCTAACCCTCTCCTGGCACGTAGTAATGATGCACCAGGAGAAGGGGGGAGGAAGACAATCGCTCCTGCCTTCCTCGCCTCTCCTCTTCCTATGTACCAGGAGAGCACTGGCAGAACCTTAATGGTGGCCGGGTAAGTTATTTTATTTTAAAATGCTTTTAAAGGGGGGGKGGGGGGTGGGAGGGGAGGCTGTCAGGTTCTGGGAGGTTATCTGGACCCCCCCCCCCCGAAGAGAAGTGTGTGCTTTCTGATGGGGAGGGGGGTGGACTAGAACCYGGGAACTTTCACGTTTTTAACCCGGGTTAAAGGGTTCTCTAGAACTGCTCTCAGATAGCTAATGCAGTATAATGGTTTTCTGCTGGACTTGAATTCCAGAAGATCAAAGTTCACATCCACACTCAGCCATGGAAACTCACTGGGTGGCATTGGGCAAGCTGTACTCTCAGCTTCAAGAGAAGGCAATGGCAAAAGCCATCTGAACAAATCTTGGCAAGAAAGTTCTGTAATAAGCTTGCCTTGGGGGTGCCATAAGTTGGAATGACTTGAAAGTAATGCAACAGCAGCAAACCAATACTGGCTAATGCCTGTGTACGTTTGTGCAAGAGTAGGGTATATAAACTCATAACATTGCCATTGTTATTGAAAATGCTGCTCCTGTTAAAGATACTCATTCATATGGATGGTGGGGCCACATATCCCAAACAGTTTATGAATATATTGGCTACCCCATAACCTATAATCACAAATTGCATGAAGCTGCCAGGTTTTTGAGCTATATATAATACAGTGTAAATAGTCTATAAACAATCATTAAGAAAATAGGTGTTTAGTATGTATAGACACTGCTTCTTAAACTGTGGGTCCCAAACTCACATGGGATCATCTTAGTTCAATGTTAGGGCCCCAAAAAGTTTGGCAACAGTAAATTTTTCTGAACATCACCTAGTGGTTATTTTAGACATGTACATGAATCTGTTGTGCAGTGTTTACAGTGGACTCTGCAGAAGATGCCTCAGCTGTTCTTCATAAAAAGAAAAATCATCCTGTTTAGCAAGCCTTGCAAATGCTGATTTGCTATCAGCAAATGTTTGATTTTTATACCTATTTTATTACCTATATACCCGTGGTGACATGAAATTTCTCAAGCCAAAAGGGGTCCTGATTGGAAAGATTTAAGAAGCCCTCGTATAGATTAATACATATGGAATTTTGAATTGCACACCCCTGATGGCATCTTTTGCTGAGAATCTTGCCAAAAGATATTGTGAAGGAGTGAATCCAGAGAGTGAGAAGGCAACCTATCTACACATGGTGGACAGAATTATTTATAGGTTGGAAGTTGGTATTCATTGCCTTTGCATGAATGTTTTCTATGGCTGCTTTGAAAGGACCAAACAGATATCACAGAGACATCCCATGAATACAGAATTGACACTTGTAGAAGAGGGACGACTTAGTTTTCTTCAAATCCAAGTCAGGCGAATGCAGGTCTTGTAGCCATCTATTCCTATACTGAAGGACACAAAATGTATATTATGTTTCCAGGGAGTAAACACCCTTAAAAGAAAGTGTAAGTGTCTAGTCTTTTGCTGTCACTGTTTCTGTAGGCAATGCTGTTCTCAGCAGTGGTTAATGTACTCCTTTCTGAGTGGCATCAAAGTCTTCAGTGACCATCTTAGGTGTTATCATAATTGCCTCTCTAACTAATGCCACTGTGTCAAATACTTAAGCTATTTTACTGCTGTGGGGAAAATATATATTTCCTGATCCTCCAGAATGAATCAAGACACCCATAAATATTTCCCATTGTAAGCTTTGAGTGAGCAATAAAAAACTGTTTTTGCTTTATCTTAGTAAATAAGTAATTCCCTCATAGTCAACCCAATACAGGAAAATCAAATCAGGCCTGCTCTGTTGCCTCAAGTGTAGTTAAGTTCATCATTTTTGCTAAGGTTATACTGGTAATGCAATATGCCATGGAAGAATCTAATATTCAGCCCAGGGTGAAGATTGGGTATGCCAGAGGATTAGTGTCAGGGTGCTTTATAGAAGTGAAACTTGATATACAGGCTGGAGACAGAGCTACAGAATCTCATTAAATTGCTGAATTGTTCATTACTGAGCACTCTCTCTTTAATAAAGTGCTCATTGACTTTGACAAATCCCCATCCCGTGTCTTAAAGGACAACAACAGAGCAAGAGGTACCAAACAACCAAGAGGAAATTGCCCCCTCTTTTATTATTATCATTATTTTAAATGGGTGGGATGTAATAGGAAAGCTGATGAGGAAGTCTGCTCTTTGGTTACTGTAGCATGCTAATCGGTGTGACACTGGCAAATGCCATCCACAGCCATGTTGTGTATGCACATGCGTGAGCAGGAATAACTCTGATTTGATATTTCCCCCAAGGCATCATCCACTTGTTGAGCTTCCAATAAGCATCGACCACAAATTTAATGGTGTCTCTCCTCCTTTTCTTTTCCCAAGGGCAGGACCCCAGGAGTAGATGGCAATATTGCCTAGGCATAAATAATTCCTTCACTGTATTACCGGAATGATGAATCACCGAATGTATATTCAGCTTTAGAAAGTTGGAAGAAAAAACCTCATGTATTTGACTTTTTGGATACTGTTGAGGTCTGGTTATGGACAAAAGCTATTGCAATCAATGGACAAAGAAATCCTTTGCCAGATAGTTCTGAATTTCCTCATTTGGAGTGTCAAATATGCTGTAACAAAAATGGTAGAGGTAATGATAATACATTCTTTTTGAAGAGTATGAATAAAATCCGTTTAAAGTAAATGCTCTGGGTGGCATTTGAATTCAGAAGAATGTATTATATTCACATGAATAATATTGGAGTGTGAGAATTCTTAATGATGTTATACTATATTTTCTTGTGATGAAACCTCTGTGGGTCTCTTCTCATTGCTAGTCTAGCTCAGGGCAAATGTATGAAGCCAGGGTGGTCAAAGTGAAGCCTGGTAGCCATTGCTGGACTGCAAAGCCCAGCATTCTTCATCAATATAGGTACTGGTTAGAACAACTGAACATAACTCTCCAGCAATATTGAAAGTGAATGTTGGGGAAAGATCATACTTCCTCCCATTAAAAATGCAAGCCTATATTGACTTTTTAACTATGGCATTGCATTTTGAAATTCTCCCTCCACCTTTAAAATAGATATTGACTGCTCCTTTGTCTCGAAGATATTTTATAGTGATTGTTCCCCTTGTCGTTGTTGTCCTCCCCCACGCCCCACTGCACTAATAGGCAAAATGCCTTGTGGTTTTAGCATTGCTGTGGTTTTTTACTAGTTGCATGTTTGTGGGGGTTTTTTTAACCAAATGATACTGCAAATATTTTACATATAAGTAGATTTGTTAGCTAATGTTGTGTCATAAAGGCATTCAGACTATCCACGGGTTCAA